TCAAAATAAAGATATTCTGTGCCTTTGAACTTTCTCTCTGAGAGATCATTTTACACTAAATACAGCTTAAATAACAACACAGTCTTTGTCTTTAATCTATGTTTGGTGATTTTGTCAGACAACTTTATAAATTTGACCATGGGCGGTCTAGCCATATACTACGCTTTGACCTAGTCTTGTTTACTGCAGACCTGCTTAATTATACAGTATAATATAAATACAGAGGTTTTGTGGGTACTGGAGACTGGATTTTTACACCATAAACTGTGCAAACTGCAAGCTTTAAATTTCTGTTTAATGGACATAAGCATGACAGATGAAAAAGACACAACGAATGATCCATAACAAATACGACAAGAACACTGCATGCTTCTGTCCCTTTTTACACATTGCATACCATATGTACAATTTTCCACTCTGATCACTGTGTAAAATATTGTATGAGTGTTGAGGCAGTATCATTTATTTTATTTCAGTGTCAGTTATGTAAGTGCGTATGCTGAGTAGGTCATCACTGACTACTTTAATTAAAAATACTTTTATTACTTTTTTATTTTTTGACATAATCTGGCCTATATTAAGAAGAGAAAAGGTTCTTCTATCAATTATGTCTTTTTTGTGTCACTTAAGCAATACTGTAGCTAATCTCTCACCTCAGGGTTTTCCTGTCCTCCAGGTAACCTGGGTTGTGAGTGCTTTACTAATCCATCAGCCTTCCTGCAACATTTCCTGTCACTCTCTATATTTTGGTGTCAAAAAGCTAGAAACACTCTTCAAAATGAGTCCACATCTGTATCAGTGGTCATATGTTAGTATGTAAGTACTGGGGAGCACCCACTCAACAACACATACACATGCACACGCACCTGTTGGGATTATTAAGTATACTATCCCCTGCTGTGATGAGTAGTGGTTTGTGTTTTTTTTCTGTTGCCTTACTCTTCAAACAACAGATTAAAGCCTCCAGTGTGTTTGTCATGGTGGATTCTTACCAGCTGTGAATCTTGGTTTTGATACTGTTAAAAAATGAGCTGTCCCCCTGCCTCATAAAAAGTATTAAGTAGCCATAGGTTAATGCCATGTTTGGCCTAGTTTAGAGTACTCTAAAGGGAAATGTTAGCCTAGGGCAATGAATGCAATTTGCCAAAGGCTCAAAAATGCAGTTAGTGCTAGGCTAGGCTAAGTGTCAGGTAAAAATTAAAGCAGTTGTATGTGTGTACACCTGCCAGAGTGTGCACATGCATGAAGGGTTGAAAAGTGTGATGCAGCTTCACTCAGTTTCCTCTCTCACATGCAAGCCGTAACCTGTATACAGCGGGTTGCTGATTAGTCTTGACGTTCCATATGTGGTGACTCATACACACTTGTTAGGCTTCGCATGCCACCATCCCAGGTATGTGTCACCCATGTATCCCCACTGCCAGCTTTTACGCCGGCAGCACCTCTGATTCCTACAATCCCAGCTGTCACCACTGCTAACTGTTACCACAGCAATACTGTCGCAATGGGTTACCAATAGCCGTGGCCGTTGCGGAACAGCAGGAGACAAAGACAAATCAATCCGTGCTTCTAATCTTCTTTACATGGAATAGAGGAATAGGCGCAGAGGTATTGGCAAGCCTTGTAGGTAGCTCAGAGGCAATACAAAGTAATAGCACTATGGCTTTTATAGAATAACAGATTAACTGTGACATGAGCATAAAGAAGGAGCGGGGAAAAGAGCAGAGATCAGCACAGGAGAAGGGAAGGAGAACAGAGGGAGGAGGAGGAGAGGAGCAGAGGTGAGGACTGGAAGGCAAAAGAGGGACAGCAAATCAGGGTGAGGAAATTGTGTGGCCAATGGAGCAAGGTTAGTTTGCCATTCATTGCATCCCTTAATCCATTTTAATTGAATAGATAAGCAAAGTCATTTTGCTCGATAAACTCTTGCTGTGTCATCAAACACCTCCATCCTCTCCTGCCCTTCGTCACTTTCTTATGCTTTCTTTTTCTCCTTTCACCCTCATTTTCTCCACCTGACATGCATCTGTATTCACTATGAAGAAATAAAACTGAATTTGCACTTGTAAACACTAATACTGAGGTGTGTGTGTGCGTGTGTGTTTTATGGCTCAATCGTCAGATGTTTGAGGTTACCACAGGAGACAAAACAATGAGTGCCACTATAATCACAGGAAAACAGTCTATTTATTGTACTTTACTGTTCCTGTCAACCTGTCTGTGTAAAAAATCCACCCATCTGGTGCTGCACGATGAAACAGATACTAAGAATTATTTTCTAATACTAAATGTCCCAGGTATGGAGGAGAACGTGCAGAAAAATATAAACTGGGTTTGAAGCAGCTTGATTATGCAGTTAACTGTGAAAAACTTTTTTTGAGTTATCTGGCTGAGTGACTCTGCCTGTTGCAGTACTCCAGAGATTAAATAAAAATGGAAGCATGAAAGGCAGGTTCTCTCTCCCTCTCTCTCTCTCTCTCTCTCTTTCTCTCACAAACACACACACACACACACACACACACACACACACACACACACACACACACACACACACACATACACTAGTTGCTCTAGCCATGTTCCCACTAGTCTCCTGGTGATCACAGCAGCCTGTTTCTGATGATTAGTACTACACCCCTGTTGACTGGACTAAGCAGGGTCTGCTTTAAGCTCTTTGCCCCCCTAAGGCTGATGAAAATCCCGGCAGTGGAGGAGTAACGTGGAGGGGTTAAAAAGCACCAGCGTAGGGAGAAAGCAATATGTGTTGCACCGTGAGGGGAAGGCATTATGTGTAATGCCAAAGGGGTAAGGCATAATGTGTAACATCAGAGTGCCCCCATTGTGATTCCTACTGGGTTAACAGTCCTGACTGCCTTGTTTTCTCACTGAATCAGGATATAATCATAAATCTCCACTCACTGGCTGGATTGTTTCTGTCTGTGTGTATATACCTAGCAAATAGAGCAATACGTATATAATACAAAAGGAATAGCTGATTACATACATGAAAGTTTGGAGGTAAGAGGGAAACCTCCACTATACTTTACAGAACAGTGCGGGCACTTTAAAATTCCTCCTTTTAATTCTCCTGTACCTGCTTTTTGGTGGCGGACATTCAGCTTTCACACAAGCCAAACTAGAGGAATCATTTTGAGGTAACGTGTGCAATGTATCTGCAGATAAAATGAATGTTGACACCTTTCTTGACAGTCTAGTCATGCCAACCAGGAGAGTTTTACCTGTATTTTAATGTTTAATGTTTCAATATCTACTTTTATACTTGTTAAAAAAAAAAACAACAGAAAATTCAGGCCTAATAATCAGATTTCATTACCCACTTCATTCATTCATATTTGACTCACTGAGCAAATCTGACATGTGGTTGGTGATCCAGATGTCTGGAAACTGACTTCTAAGATTCCTACCTTTACCTGAAACCTTTTACAAATGCAGTCCACAGTGTATGATTATCCTTGATTATATGTTAAAATTAACCAGTGAAAAGTAATTGACTGCAATTTTACCTGCTGAAAAACATGTGGATTAGCAATTAAAATATCTGCATTGTTATAGGAGTAGGATAAAATGCTGTTACAAAAGACGTAAAAGTCAGGTTTTGTCAGCATTTAAGTGTCCTTGTCTATGTGACAGCATTAAAGCATTTTTAAACACACAATTACTTTATATTTGTATATTCATATTATACAGTCCTCCAAACTGACTCACCATAAAGCATTGGCATGTGGTTACTTTTACAGATAGGCAAACATAACCAAACAATTAAAGCACAGGAGACTTTGTTTTCTGCTTCAGGGCGGCATGTCGGCAACACCTTGTCTTGGGTTTTGAGGAGTTGTAGCATTATTTACTGACAAATAGCTTAGAGTTGACATTTATTGCACTACTAAGTTCACAGCTATGCTGCTAACTTCTAACTCTCTGCTACAGTCACCGGCCTCACTGTCACACACTTGTGCTCTCTCTACAACTGATATCAGAATGATGGGAGCTTGACAAACACACTTGTCTGCAGCTAGTCACCTGTCAAAGATTCCAGGATTATCCACAATGCGCATGCGAAAACATCCAAAAAATGCTGTCCCTACCCTCTGACACATTACTGTGTAATGGTTACAATAATAAACTCTTGCGTGCATTAATGACATTTAAACACCAGAAAGTTGCCGTAATGCCCTGAAAAGCTGTTTGCCAACCCTATTTCCATGGTGAATATTGTATAAATCACACATTTGTAACATTATCCATTGTGAATGTGAAAAATAATACAATGTTGTTATATATATAAAGCAATTCAACCACAGCTGTCTATTTTAAGAAGCAATTTCGCCTTCTACCTTTTTCCTTGTCTCTCAGCAGAAGCGTCAGTAGTAATGAGTTAGTCGTGCCATACTTGTGAAGAAACTTAAACCAAAGAACCAAAACAGAAATGCAAGGAAGATGGGGACACAGGGTCAGACAGGCACACAGAAACACCATAACATATAAGAATAGAAAAATTGAATGAGAAACAGACACGTAAAAATAGAAAATGTTTAGAAGCAGGACGAGAGACAGAATGTACAGCTGGCAGACACGCACAAGAAAGGTAAAAAGACATTGCATTTTATGTTAGATTATAAGCAGAGCTGGTGTTACTGTTCTTTTCCTTCCATCGTCATTGTAATTAAATGCCATTTTGTGAAAGTAGTCATTAGCTTTGTCATAGTATGTTTAATTAGTATGTGTTGGGCTGTTAATGTGATTGGCAGGACTCACAGATACTCTAGGCCATACACTGTAAACACATACCAAAGTGACAGATAAACCAGCTACTGACCACTAACTTTTTTCTGATGGCAGTTGTTAGTGTGCATCTCTGTGTCTGTGATACTTCACTGTGAAGACTGAATAATTTATGATTTGAATCTTTTTTGTTTCTTTATATAATTCATTTAAGTAGAAAACATGACTGCAATTTTTTTTTTATGGTTTCTCCTCAGATCCGTAGACAGGGAGGCATTCAGCTGCTGGTCGACCTACTGGACCACAGGATGAGCGAGGTTCACCGCAGCGCCTGCGGAGCCCTGAGGAACCTGGTATATGGCAAAGCCAACGATGAGAACAAAGTAGCTCTGAAGAACTGCGGGGGGATTCCTGCCTTGGTCCGCCTGCTGAGAAAGACTGGAGACGTGGAAATCAGAGAGCTGGTCACAGGTAGAGTATTTGGGACAAACTTACAACTCAGCTCACTGACATGTTCTCCCATGGTGTAGATGCAGTTATTTTCCAGCATAACTCTGCTCCTCTGAGCTCAGTAAAGGTTATAATGGTGTGTGTATGTGTGTATGTAATGTACGTTTATAGAATTTGACACAGTATGTGCATATGCGAGGAACAGTCGTTATATGCACACACACACACACGCACGTACACACACGCACACACACACACACTATATTTTTCTTTCTTTCTTTCTTTCTTTCGTTGTTACTTCATTTATTTATGTAATTGTGGTTATACTTCTTATTTTAGTGAATTTACCACAGCACTATATGACTATATGCTCATTGGACTCATTTGAATTTTCTAGATTCGATCAATTCAAAAAATTGAATTCTCCCATATGTACCCATATGTATGTACACACAAATGCAGGGGGCATGCACACATTCCTAGATATGATATAATTATATACACATAACCACACAATATTCGAGTCTCATTTAGTCTTGACAGTGCTAGTAGTTTTCTTAGCTAAGTGATGTTAGTTTTTCCAGAATTTATACACTTACCTTTCACTGAAAAAATATCCTTCGAAAAAGGTTACTATTCACTCTGCAGAAACCAAGGCAGTTCTTCTTGATTTCTTTTGGATGCTAAACAATTTATCATGCTGCTTCGAATGATACTTACAGATAAGTAATAGACTAGAAGGGCTCTAAGCCATGACCTCTGGAAAAAATGCAGAAGAAGCAGCGAGGCAGCCAACAATTTATTGAGCATAATTTCTTTAGAAGTCTTATGTTATGTGTCCTCTCTGCTCTTATTTTTCAGATGGTCTTGTTTTTCTATGTGATTTTTGCATGGTATGTGTAGGTGTTTGCTTTACATTCAAGTTCTTACCATCAAAAGTGTTTTATAATCGTCGGCCAATATTGTTTTAACCTTGAGGGTATTAGCAGTAAAAATTTCCAGTACCCAGTGCTATTGAGACGTGCATACAGCAGTGCACATACTTCCCGACACAAACTTAGAATTGTCCGTGCAAATACACACTCATGCAAAGACACTCAGATGTGGAGATATATACAAATATCTGTGTAGGCAAGAGATGTATAGGTTAAGTTTTAACACCCATGTAACCACATACACATACACACACACACACACACACACACACATTACATAATACAATTTGATCTCCACTTCTCCTGAAATATATTTCCAATATGCTTCCTACTAAGAATTTAATATTTTACTTGAGCTACTAACACTAACAGTAAACACTAACACATATGCTTCGTCGTTTTCTGTCTCACACAAACACAAAGATGCTCACACTCACACTCACACTCACACTCACAAACATAACCCACCTCAAGCATATATGAAATCTCAATGTGCAGCTAGTTATTTTCCAGCACGACATTGGTTCTACAGCCTCAGGACAGGTAATAATGATGAACCGCTGTGTGTACGTGTGTGTTTGTATGTGTATGTGTATGTATGTGACTTTTTATTTCAGCATATGTGTCACAGGATTCTGTCTGTAAAGGTGAATTCTAGAATACATCCTGCGGATGCGCTGGGATGCATCTTCAGTGATGTAACCTGGGTTCATCGGGTGTTTCGGGTCTGTTCGAACATCATACAGTAGCTCTCTCTGCAGCATCAACGGTTGATTTGGTGGCCCTCTTCTTAGTCTGACCCATGATCCCAAGCTTGGTGAGGAGTCTGCATAATGACCGGCCTGCAAATCCTCGACATCCCACCTCGATAGGCTCACAGTGGGTTTTCCATCTATAGCTCCTGCACTGCTCTGTCAACTCCTGGTACTTTGCACGTTTCCGCTCTTGGGCTTCATCCATGCGCTCCTCCCAGGGTACAGTGAGCTCTACCATGATCACCTTCTTGGTGGAGTTGGAGAAGATGGCGATGTCCGGACGCAGTGTGTTTGGGGCGATATGCTCTGGAAAGCGCAGCTGCTTAACCAGATCCACTCTCAGCTCCCAGTCGGCTGCTGAGGCTAGGAGGCCAGTCGTTGACCTAGGCTGTGGAGGTTGTCTCTCTCCTGCCTTGATGAAGTTGATGGTCTTTGGGTGGCGTTGTCGGTTGGTGGTTATGGCTGAGGCTACCACTTCTGTTAGTGCTTTGAGCACTTGATCATGCCGCCATCTGCAAGTGCTCTCAGGCAACTGCTGAGGATATGTTCGAGGGATCCTCTTCCAGGGCACAACATACAGGCTGGAGTCTCAATCTTTCCCCAGACGTGGAGATTTGCTGGGCTTGGTAGGCCATCATATACAGCTTGAATCAGGAAACGGACTCTGTAGTAGTCTGCTCGCAGGATGTTATCCCAGGTCACCCTTCGCTGCTCTGCGGATTCCCACTTTGTCTATGCTCCTTGCTGCCTCAGACCCACCATCTTGCTAGCTCTCTCTTCCTCCACGCCTGCTCGAATCTCCTCCTGGAGAAGGTGGCGCCTCTCTTTGCCTGTAACGTTGTGGATCTGATGTTGGGGTAAGTAACCCAGACCCGCACGGCCTCTGGCCACGTTTCCCACAAGCTCCCTCTGCCTCAGCCGAGACTCTGCAACCTCGAGTGCCTCGCCTGCTTTCCACTTCCTGCCTGTCCTGACCTCAAATCCTGCTGCTAACACTTTGGTGTCCCTCGAGTTCCTGTATTGGAGTTCTTCCCTAATCCACAACACCACGAACTCCTCTTTTAGGCCTCTAAATGGGAGTTGCAAGATGTTGCTCCTTCCATACAGTGCCGCGCTGCTGAGGCTCCGGGGAAGACCAAGCCACCTGCGCAGGTGACTACTTATCCTCCTCTCCATCAACTCTACTGTTGTTATTGGGACCTCATATATCAGCAGTGGCCACAGAATCCTAGGCAGGATGGCATGTTGGTAGATCCAGTCTTTGATGGTCTTCTTGATGGAATTGGAGTCTGTAAGGCTGGAGTCGAACACCTTACCCAGGCTCTTCACTGGCTGCTGTGATGGTTGTGATGGTGACGCCTGCAAGTGTGAAGCGGAACTTCTCCACAACACGCCCCTTTCTCAGCACCAAGGATCTAGACTTGCTGGGCTTGAAGCTCATCCTTGTCCATGTGATGATCTTTTCTAGGCCTTGAAGGATCCATCTGGTTCCTGGCACTGAGGATGTTGTGACGGTGAGATCATCCATGAAAGCCCTGATTGGTGGTTGTCTCGAGCCAGAAAGTATGAAAGTATGTGATACAAATGAAATTCAGAAAGTAATAATCAGTGTCTCACACACACAAGCATTAGATCAACTAGAGTAAATGTTGGCTGCAATTTATATGAAGTTGGTGAGCTGTGACCTGTGATAGCAGATCCAATGAGCAGTTCTCCCTGGCAGGTGAAAAGACCATGTGCAACGGGTCCCATGACAGAACATAAGAGAGTCATTCCTTTTTCTCTCCTCTTCTCTGCTCCTCTTTTGTGATCACATTTCTCCTACTTTTCTTCTCTCTTACACCTATGTTCTCATGTCAGTCTCTCTTCTCTTCACACTTTTTTTCTTTCTCCTTTATCTATATACAGTACATTTCAGTTTTGTGGTTCAGTGCCTTGCATCACCCTGAGCTGGACTGCACGTATCTGCACTTGTATCACGATTGTTTCTCTCTTTTTGCTCATACAAAAGCGGCTCTTTGTTGAAACAGGTTAGCCCTCAGATAAGAGAGACATGTGCAAGCTCATACAAGAGGATTGGACACTTCCAAAGATAAAGTACAAGCACACTCATTCACCCACTACATAAATTCAAATAGACACACAAACTCAGCTGCATAACATGTGACACCCATGCACATGCACACACGGAATACTGAGATAAACTCGATGGGGCCCCCTCATGTTCAGTTTGACCTATGATCCCATTGTTCCTCAGCAAGATGAACTCATCTTCAAGTACACACACACATTCAATCATCCATCTCTGGACACATCCCTATAGGTCACTTGTTCTCAGAGAAGAAGGGGACCGCAATAGTGACAGCAGGCAAGTCAGCAAGGAATTTTGTCTCTTCCTTCACAGACCCCTTGAATGTTACTAACAGGTCATGGAAGAATGGAAGGCAGGAAGTGTTATATTTTCGAGACCTTTTCACTGTTGTTGGCCCCACTATAACAGGCTGGATAGAGGAAATACAGCTTGTAGCGGGATGGGCAATTAGAGAAAAGCAGGTCTATGGAGAAGAAAGGACTGTTGAGCAAGAAACAGGATAGATGGAAGGAAGCAGGCTGTTACATTCCTCAGACAAGCTTTTGATATTATAGATACCGAAATAAGAAAAAAGGAAGTGAGGAAGAGAGGTAAGAATGAACAGCAAATGAGCAAATCTGTCTGATTAATAGGAAGAATAAAAATAAGGGAATGAGGAAAGACTGACTCAATGAGCGAGGAAAGAGGACTATAGGAAGGGAAAACGATAAGGAACAATGAAGGGAGGGTAAGATTACTAAAATCCAACGGATGTAATTTTACCAAATAAAATTACCTCTGTGTAATGACACCTTCTGCTCTATAAACCAAACTTCTACTCCAAATAAAGAAGCAGGAATGTGCACCAATCAACATTCATGGAAAGAACATTTCCTGTCGATGCTAAACTAGACATATTAGTGGTGACATTCATCACACTCACCACACCCCAGGACAACCTGGCACCTTGAAGTATATCACGTAGTTCTGGAGAGACGAAAAGATTAAAAGCCTGGAGATGGAGTGTGTGTATTTTTGTGAGTTGTGTAAGCAGATTAACAAATGAATTAAATGCACCGCAAGTCATACTGCATCATATTTGAGCTCTTATATTTATAACTAGTCAGATAAACACACACACACCGAAATTCTATCTCCCTCTCTCCTGTTCCCGCATTTTCCCTGTCTTTGCCCTTCTCTGCCTGGCTCTCCCCTGCTGCTGGCATAGTGAATCAGTGTCATGCATGACTCTACCTTGTT